TTTTTCGAAAATTTCGTGCATCGAGGTAAGGATCGATCAACTCTCGACTTGGCAAATTCCCTTCCGAAAGAGCACGAATTTCAAAAGATTTTCAAATTCTTGGAAAATTTCGGGCAACCCTCTTGGCGAAAGAGCACCAATTTCAAAAGATTTTTAAATTCTTGGAAAATTTCAGGAAACCCTCTTAGCGAATCCCTTCGCGAAAGAGCACCAATTTCAAAAGATTCGAAAATTTCAAATTCTTGGAAAATTTCGGGCAACCATCTTGGCAAAAGAGCACCAATTTCAAAAGATTTTCAAATTCTTGAAAAATTTCGGGCAACCATCTTGACAAAAGACCACCAATTTCAAAAGATTTTCAAATTCTTCGAAAAATTTCGTGCGAAAGATCGCCCAAGAGCTCCAAGGAGCGAGGATCCGCGCGAGTCCGTTGCGCGAAATTGGAATAATGGAAGCTCGTCTAATTGGCCCATTCGCTCCATTACACACATTCGCGTCCACATCCTCCTCGAATCGAACCGACCACGGACATTCATCACCGACAAATCGGTTCGAGACACCGATGGGCGCGATGATCGTGCCATCGCATCAGGTGCGAGGACCACCGACCGAGCTCCTTCTCCTCGAGTAAAACAGCCTCGTCTCCACCTCTCCTCGAAGGGTTTCTCGCTCTAATGAAAGAGGAAAAAAAGAAAAAAAAGAAGGACGCGGTGAAACGAAAAACACAGACGAAAACCAACATACAGATATACGTATACGCTATATTCGAATGCACACGATCTTCGACATTTGGAGGCCTTACACGCGGCCGACCTTAAACCTCTGAAAAGGATCTCGAGTGGAGATCTGTTCCTGGCTAGGCCGACCTACCGAGCCTACCTCCTCGAGACCACGGAGGAAGAGTGGAGGCTGGAGGAGGAGTGCCTACTTACGAGGACCTCGATCCCCCTCGTAAACATCGGATGGAGGAATCCGCGGCAGGAACAAGGATACCAGGTGCACTCCTCCCGATAACGAGCAGCATCCGAGTACTCGCGCGCCTGCCCAGCGTCGCATTCCGCCCGTTTTTCCTCCCCCCTCCTCTCTCTCTCTCTCTCTCTCTCTCTCTCTCTCTCTCTCTCTCTCTCTCGCGCTCTCTC